TGGTGGCACACACCTGTAGTCCTAGCTACTCAGGAGGCTGAGGCAGGAGAATTGCTTGTACCCGGGAGGCGGAGGTTGCAGTGAGCCGAGATAACACCACTGCACTCCAGCCTGGGTGACAGAGCAAGAATCCGTCTCAAATAAATAAATAAATAAATAAATAAATAAACAAACAAACAAAGTGAAAATGAGCAGGGACTGGTTCTGCCTAGCTCGCCGTGGAGTTCGAGGCAGCGGTGACTCCGGGAAGGGTCCTGCCAGGCACTGTGTTCCCCTTCCCCAGGAAGCCTCAGCCAGCCAGAAGCACATGGCCGGAGGGAGCTACGCCTCCATTCACAGCCACAATAGCTCATATGGGGGCCTTTGAGGTCTGTTAATCCACACAATTTAGAATCTCACCAGTATGCATTAGAGGCTGGCTGGGGTTCTCTGCAGAGGGTAAAAGATTGCACTTTTAGGAATGATCTGTTTATTGATTCTTACAGCTGTCAAGGGGTCCCAGACTGTGGCACTGGCTGTGTACCCCCTAGTGGCAGATTCTGAACTGTGGGCAGACTCAGCAGAGACTCCCGAGCTGTTCAAAGTGGGATTCCCTGGGAACTTGCTAGAAATGCTGAGTCTCGGGCCCACCGGGACCCGCTGTGTCAGAATCCATTGCTCAGCGGGTCCCTGGAGATGTGTGTGCAGTCAGGTCTGAGAGGCTCTGCGCCCGGAGCAGCTGAACGCTGGTGTCTGGGAGGCTGGGAAGCCCGCGTCACACCTGAGGGGTGGTGCTTGCTGTTTCGCATCACAGTAGGGCACCCAGGCACGAGAGATGGAAACCATGGAGTACACAGAGTAGCTGAGATTTCTCCAAAAGGCCAGCCTGCTCGGGCTTTGCCTCGGGGGCCTGCATCACCGATGATAAGAAAACAGCTGCCAGGCTATTGCAATCTTAACCCTCTGACCGCTATTTATTTATTTACTTATTTAGAGACAGAGTTTCGCTCTTGTCGCCCAGGCTGGAGTGCAATGGCGCAATCTCAGTTCACCGCAACCTCCACCTCCCAGGTTCAAGCGATTCTCCTCCTCAGCCTCCTGAGTAGCTGGGATGACAGGCATGCGCCATCATGCCCAGTTAATTTTGTATTTTTAGTAGAGATGGGGTTTCTCCATGTTGGTCAGGCTGATCTTGAACCCCTGACCTCAGGTGATCCACCCGCCTAGGCCTCCCAAGGTGCTGGGATTTCAGGGGTGAGCCACCGCACCCGACCCTGACCATTCTTTCTAGGGAGGGATTTCTGCTGCCCAGTGTCCCAGGCCCTGGGGCGCCCTCTCGGGTCTGAACTGTAGCCAGGCTAGAACCGGCAGTGTAGGTCGACGAGGCTCCGTGGTGCACCCGCCCTCTCTCCGCACTAGGAAGCTGCCTCATGGGGAGGCCTTCTGCCCAGTGTTCCCAGCACCCTGAGTGCGTAGCTGACTTCCCAGCCCTGGATCTCCGCCTGGAGCTTCAGGCCATCTCTGGGTTAGCTATCTCGGTCTGGATTTCCCACAGTCGCCTCAAATTCCACACACAGAGTCTCTATCTTCCCTCCACCTCCCCACTAAGCACCCTCTTGCCCCTGCCTTCTGCAGCTGAGCAAGTGGCACCATGTCCACATGGCCAGTCACGGAGACACCTGAGTGTCCTCTTCTGAATCTCTTTCCCCTGCTGTGTGCCGTCCGCACCCCTGGTCGGTGAGGAAAATGCAGGCCAGCTCATGGGTGGTGGAGCCATGCCGCCTGCTGGGCTGGGATACTTCATCTCTGGTCAGTGCCCAGTGCCTGGCCCTGGAGTGGGCACTCCACATGCATCGCCCACGCCATCACACCTCTCCTCCCGACAATCATGTCCCCAGTCTGCAGATGAGAAACTTTCCCAGGGGTGATCACTTGTAATGAAACCCAAGCCTGATGCTGGACCCTATCTTCCTCCCTATTACGCCAGGGCAACGTGTTGACCTCGCTGCCCACACTGTCATTACAACACAGATCCATTTATGCAGGATGGTGCAGGGAAAACAGAAAACCAGAAAGCTCTGGTCGCCCCAAGTACGTCTTGCTCTTTAATTTAACTGAAAAATAACCGAAGGCCTTTTCATCTCTTTTCACCGGGCTACAGGGCTCCACAGTATTGCAGTCACTGAGTACAGGCTCAGAGCTGGGGGTGAGTATGTTTTAATCCAAGGTGACAACCAACCCACAGCCAGGACTGATCTACAATCTGACGTCTGTTCTCTTTGATTTCCCTCTTGTTACTTGGCAACCCCAGAAACTGGAATGATTTTATTCCATTTTAAAGGAAAATATACGTTGCTTTTTCATTTCTCCTCAGGATTATTTGAGGGCTGCATCACATTAATTAACATCCTGGGGCACTCACAATGTGCTTCTGGGTGGATACGGTGGGCAAAATTGCCCCTGAGCCACACAGCAGCCTGGGCAGTTGGCACCACTGGGAGCTGCCCTGGGCAGGAGGGGACATGGAGGCTCCGGGAGGTGAGATAATTCGTTTAACTCAGGCAGTGAAGCTCCAGAGCAGGCTCATAACCTACCCTAGTGGTTCCCAAACTTGCTAAAAATGTACATTCTCTGGTTCATCCAGACCTGATGAATCGGCGGGGGGGGTGGTCAGCAATTGGAGTCGTAAGAAACCCCCATGGTGCTCCCCTGAGAATCACCCCCCTGAAACCCTCTGCTTCACAGAGATGCAGAGAAGCCGCCATCTCTTTTAGGATAGGAGGTGATTGCACTGCACAGGTGCCTCAGCGTGGGGTTCGAGCCCAGGAGGTGTGGGGGAGCGCTGTGGGCACTCCTAGGCTGGGGAGACCCTGGCACTGACCTGGGCCCACTCCTGGCTGGTGCCTCCCCTGCAGCTGCGACCCATTGTCTGCTGCAGCTCTCCTAAGGTGTGTGTCATCCTCAGTCAGGGGCTCTTGGCAAGTCTGACTGTGGTTTGCATAATCCACCATTTGTTGCTGCAGAGTACCAAGGATGTGAATTTCGTTTGGCGAGGGCCCAGGTAAATCAAGAAAACAGAGGGGAGGAGGAGGTGCTCTTGACCACAACCGTGGGTTTGAGGAAGACAGGGCCTGCTGGACCTGGGCAGCCAGTTGGCAGTTTCGGACTCCTGATGAAATGTTTCCTGAATCCCTGGCTGTCCAGGATGAGGCTGCTGACGACGGTCCTGTGTGTGGGTCTCAGTGACTCCACGGGGCTTTCTAGCTCTGACGTTTTGCTGACTGCTGGGCAGGTGCCCGGGGTAAAAAGATCCCTGGATTGAGACCAGTGCAGGCCCAGAGGTGGAGAGCATCACTCTGTTTGGCATTCACACTGAGGCCCCGCCCCAGGCAGGGCTCCATCCACCCCAAGGCCTAGCTGGCCGCATCTCCCCATTTCCCAGATGGGCAAGCTGAGGCCTGGGGCCTTGCCCAAGGGGCCTCTAACGAGAACACAGCAGGACTGTTTATTCCTCTGCTGAACTCCCTCAGGGCTGGATTCTAAGGCCCTACCCCAAGGCCTTCCTGGGAGCCGGCTTTCTGTTAAGCAGGCAAGGGCAGGAGGTGGGAGTGGGGTGCGCTCGTCTTTAAAATCTTCAGGACTCAGGGGACTGTGCTTGCTTTCCACATGTGACAGACCTCACTGCTGGACTTAGAGAGGCGCCCCTGCCGCGACTCGAGTCTATTCTGGCTGCCACATTGGACACTGAAGGCTGCGCCGTGTGAGAACTCTCGAACAGAAGGGCCCCTGAGGAGGGCTGCTCTTCTCCCAGGTTCCACAGGCAAAGATGCTTTTCCGAATAGGTAGGGAGTGTCTGACATCTTTCCGGACTGGTTCTTCATCCCACAATGATCTGGCCTTGAGTCAGCCTAGATCCCCACAGAGGACACGTGGACCATGGCAGCTGGCTCCACCATGGGTCAGGCTGGCAACCGAGCTGCGGCCTCCTCTAATTTGTGAATTAATTAGCATACGGCTGGCCAGGAAAATGGCTTTGAAGATGAGCAAACCCATTGGTGCAGGGCTCATGCACTTCAGTGATTTGGAAGGGACAGAATGGCTCTCCCTGCAGCACAGCCCACAGCACAGAACCCTCCTCCTGACTTGACCAGAAGGAGGGAGGACATGCTGCACCCCATTCCTGCTCCTCCCTTCCTTCCAGCGTGGTAAGATGCAGGCCCTCTTTCTTCTCCTGGACAACATTATTACGAGACACGGGGGTAGTGGGGCCTTACGGAGAGCAAAGAGAGGCAGGGTCCCAGGGTCAGCTGCTCCTCCAGCCTTGAAGGAGCCGGAGGGTGGCAAGTGCTCCTGCAGCCCGGGACCAGACACCCAGCTTCCTCCCAGCTGCCTGTCCTACCTGCCTTCGTCTCTCCCAGACCACACATCCAAGAGTCCACCCAGCACATTCCTCTGAGGCAGAGGTACCTGGCCCTTCCTCATAAACAGATGCCCATGAAAGCCAGACTGAAAGAACAGGACAGAAACACCCCAAGGCAGGATTATAAACTCCTGAGACTGTTAACGTGTGCTTTGTGGAATCGGTTTCATTAATTGTGATCACATTTATATTTTCCTTGGCCTCACTCTCACCTAGCGCTTCGTAGTACTTTGCAAAATAGTAGTACTTCGCCTCTGTGATCTCCTTGGTTTTTACAATAACCATGTGAGATTGGTAGGTCAGATGTTAGCACCCCCACATTACAGATGAGAAAACCGAGGCTCACGGAGGTTAAGTGACTTGTCAGGTAGCTGGTGGCCAACCTGCACTAGCACCTCAGCCTCTGACTCAAGGCTCAGCTGTGGCAGACCTCCCTGCCTTCACAGACCTGTCTAGACAGGCCACAGGCACACTTTCACTAATGCTGTTACTGTGATTCACCTTGTCCAGGTGCCAGGACCGGCTGCTTCCTACACCCTCTCTAGTGAAAGAGACCCATGCTGAACAAATACCGTGCTGGTGGAAGGACAAAGACACTCACATTCCTTGGTGTTGGGGGGCGCCAGGAGGCAGGAGTAGCAGACCATGCCGTAGATGTTCCTGGGTCTGTTCTCCAGCATGTAGTAGCTATGGGGGAGAGATAAGACAAAACAGAGACAGGTGAGCTGGACAGCACACAGGCAGGGACTGGCACAGAGAGCACGGCGGCCGGTCTGCAGGCCCACAATCCAAGTTGGGCATGAGGCCACGTCCAGTCAGCCGCCCGCTCTGTCCACTCAGTTTCCTTGGGGTTTCAGCCTGTATTAAAATGGAGCATTCTTTTAACAGTATTGAGCCGCCAGTGTGGGCTTTTCTTTTAATCTCAGCCCCTTTCTGGTTCCTCTCTCTGGTGGCTGTGTTTAGTGTGTGTGCCATCACCATCATCCACCAGAAATATCCCTGTGCCCCCACATGTAGGCCCTGCTTAGCCCCCCAGGGGTCACACCAACCAAGGCCAGACCCTCCTGGAGGAGGAACACGCCCTTGGTGGGCGCCCTCCCCAGAGCCTGCAGCCTGCTGGGATTACGGGCGTCAGTGTGCCTCTGGGACACGTGGAACTCCCAGGCCATCTGCACTGCTGCTGATTGCCACCAGAGTGCAGCTGCAGGAGACAGACGGTTGTGCTGTCCAGAGAGGTCAATGCAGGTGGCCCTCATGACAGCCGACAACACAACCAAGTTGCAAGTGCCTCCTCCTCAGGAAGCACTTTACGGAAGACACCCTTGGAAGAGCAAAGCCTTTACGCTGGGGTTGCACATACAGCGCAAGCGATAAATCATTCACAGTAGCTCCGTTTGAAGTCCTTCAGCTCCCAGTGATGCTCCATTTTGTCTTTCAGCTCCCCGATGTCACAGCGCCAGCCCCGTGGCTATATGACGGCTCAGGTCCTGCTCTCAGGGGTCTGCCCTGTGCCTGTGCTCCCTGCAGCTGCCCCACTCCCAGGCACAGCCTCTGCTGGCACCACCCTCTCCTTGGGGCTCCCAGCTCGGGCGCCTTCCCTCTGCAGGCTGTGGCTCCTACCCTAGGCTGGGCCCATTTTCCATAAACAGATGCTCAGCGGAGAGCGTGGAGCCATTTGTCACAAGGTGAGAAGTTGATTAAATAACATGAGTGGCGCCAATGCTTTCCCTATTGCGATTCAAGAGCTGGGATGAGAAGGAATATTTCCATGGCTGTTTTCTAATCTCTTTTTTATTAGCCAGGCCCCACAGAGGCCCCTGCTGATGATAGTGCTAAGCAGCAACCTGGTGCGGGGGTCTGTGGGCTCCCGCCTTCCTGAGCCTGGACTGTTACCAGTAATGTTAGGACCATAATTGCCTGCTCTCCCTCAAAGCCCTTTATCCTCAGATCCCTGTGTATCTTGTAAACATTAATTAACCAATCTCAAAACACCTCCCAGAGAAGCCACGACAGCCAGTTTTACAGCTAAGCCTCTCGCAAATCTACCTTCTGCCCTCCAGAAGCCACCTCTTTCTATGAGGCAGGCCAAGGCACGTGTCTGCCACCTGGCCTTGTGAGCTCACGGGCATGTGGGCCAGACCAGGTCCACCTGCAGCTTTCTAATGTCCCCAGCCCAAGCTGACACTTCTGAGAAACATCTCGGGCTCCTAGGCGGCCTCCTACTCCCCATCTCACCTCCTCCGTGCGTCACCTCCTCGTCCCTCGCCTCCTCCACCTTTTCTCACTCTGCCTCCAGGCATTCTCTCTCCCACCTAGGGGGATTGGTCCCGCTCCTGGACTCGGAGGCCCTCCAGGGCAAGCCTTCTTCACATCTGTATTTCCTTGGACCTTGTGCTAGGTACTGAGGAAGAATGGTTCTCTGTAAACACTGGCTGAATGAATGAATGACGCCAAGTTTTTCTCTGTGGAACTTCGATGCTGAGGTGGACAGAGGCCCCAGAAGGCCTGTCTGCCCATCCTAGTTCACACCGCAGGTGCCGGGCTTGCTCTCTGTCATGGGTGATGCTCCACGGCCACACGGTGGGTGCAGAACTCCCGGCCGTAGGATGGGTGCCCACTGGGGCCACTACATTCTGAGCATGGGGAGGGCGGTGGCTCTGTCCCACAGCTGCGTCTTTGGCTTGTCCTGGGTACCCAGGCACCTTCTGTCACAGGCTGGCCACCCTCATCCGTGGGGGTCATGTGCATGGGTACAGCTATGCAACCTATCAAGTCACTCAGTTAAGGAATATTGAAAGGTAATAAACTTTTTTTTTTTTTTTTCCCTGAGACAGAGTCTCCCTCTATTGCCCAGGCTGGAGTGCAGAGGAGCAATCTTGGCTCACTGCAACTTCCACCTCCCAGGTGCAAACAATTCTCCTGCCTCAGCCTCCCAAGTAGCTGGGATCACAGGCATGCACCATGACGCCTGGCTAATTTTTGCATTTTTAGTAGAGACGGGGTTTCACCAGTTGGCCAGGCTGGTCTCGAACTCCTGACCTCAAGCGATCCACCTGCCTTGGCCTCCCAAAGCATTGGGATTACAGGCTTGAGCTGCCGTGCCTGGCCGGTGATAAACTTTTAAAAACACATTGGCTCCAAGAGGCTGTTATGAAACTGTGCTTCCTCACCCCGTGAGTGTTCAGTGCCTCCTGACAAGGAGAAGCCACTGTTTTCTAGCACGTACTACTGCACACAACATTTCTAAATGTTAGGTTCTCTCTGTGGGACTAGCCTAAACTCCGCACGGTGTGGCTTACACCTGGGTCTCTCATCCTGGGCTGCACAGCAATGAAGAACACGTACCTGTCTTTTTCTGCCTGAGCTTGTCACCAACCCGAAATCAGGTGTTCATTTAGGGATCTCTGGCCCAGCTACAGAGTGTCTGCTCCCTTCGTCTTTCTGGAAAGGTCTAATTTCCTACATTTTGATTCATATTTGGCTTTCTTCCTAGGTCCCCCAACCTCTGTTCTATATCGGTTGATTAAGGTGTACAGCCCAGGACAAGAGTCAGTTTAAATGGGTCCCCTACGATCTGTTGTTTAGGGACGGACTTTCTCTCAGTCAGTAGATATAGATTTTCCCAGAGAGTTCCTTTCTTCAGAACTCTCATGCCTGTAAGGGACGCCGCAGGTTCTCAGATGTTCATTTTCCTCCAGCCATGTTGGTGTGCAGAACGAGTGCAGAGCTGCTGTGTCCTGCTCCCTGCCCCTGCCATCCAGAACCACGGCTGGCGAATCCTCCGGGGTGAGAAGGCGCCCTGGAGAGGTGGGGAAACGTAACCTCTCTCTCCTGCTTTCCTCCTGTTTCGGTTCCCAGGTCCTCCCACACAACCTCTCCCCACAGGAAAGCCTCGGGTGCTGCTCATTGTTCAGCCAGTGTCCTGGCCACACAGCCGGGAGGGTGGAGCATCAGGAGGAGTACCTGCCAAACCAAACCACAGGCAGCGGCCGGGGCCCAGGACACACTGGGACGAGGCAATTCGCATCCGTAGCCTGACAGCCACTCGGATTCAGGAATGAACGCAGCCTTTCATGGAGCTAGTCACACCGGTCTGCCAAGACTCCTGTGATCCTCCTCTGTGACACAGCATGACAGCCTCACAAGAGGAAGTGGGGCCTCCAGGGTCCTACCGTGGGGAAGCCTTGTCTGCAGTAGAGGGGGCGGCATGAGCCCCTAAGAGGAGCTGGGATTCGGAGGCAAGGCGGGGGCTTTCAATTTTGGTGGCGTTGGGACTGGCAGCGATGATTTGAGCAGACACAGCACATTGCGGAGCCAGCCTGGAAACTGTTCCCATCGTCTGCACCCCTGTGGAGCAGAGCGAAGGCACTCTGAGGTGCGCGCTGAGGGTATCTCTGCACTGGGTCCCTTGCCTGCCTAGCAAGTGGGCTGGGCCTTGCTATGTCCTGGGTGCTGGTGTGGACTGAGCAGGTCACTGTCCCACGGAGCAGGGCAGGAGGCATCAAGATTCCAGCACTGGAAAGAATGTTAAAAGCCCAGAGAGCAGCCTGCCCACGAATTCTGCAGATGGCCGTCCACATTCACCTGAATCCTTCCAGAGGCAGGGAGCTCATCACCCTTCCAGTGTCCAACTTGTTTAGACATTACACACTTTCTGGTAAATGTATCAGAACCAAGCACGTTGTCTTCAGGCCACAGAGTCAGCCCTGGCCTTCGAGTACTGATGGACACCTTCTCGGATCTGAACCGTAGCCAGGCCAGAGTCAGCAGCACAGATCAGCGAGGTTGCGTGGTGCACCCGCCCTCTCCCTGCAGTGGGAATTTGCCTCCTGGGGAACTCTTCTACCACAGCTGCTCCCAGCACCCTGAGTGCGTAGCTGACTTCCCAGCTCTGAATCTCCGCCTGGAGCTTCAGGCCGTCTCTGGGTTAGCTATCTAGGTCTGGATGTCCCACAGTCCCCTCAAATTCCACACACACAGCCTCTATCCTCCCTCCACCTCCCCACCAAGCACCCTCTTGCTCCTGTCTTCTGCAGCTGATCAAGTGGCACTATTTCCACATGGCCAGTCACGGAGACACCTGAGTGTCCTCTTCTGAATCTCTTTCCCCTTCTGTGTGCCGTCTGCACCCCTGGTCAGTGCTCTCTTTCAGGGGGCTCTCAGATTCTTCCTCTCCTCTACCCCCAACGCCTCTGCTCCAGCCCTCTCCCTGCCCACAGCACCCCTGGTCCCGGGGCTCTAGGCTTTCCCTGCTCAGCCATGTCCCTCGCTGCTTCCAGAAGGACGTCCTGCTGTGTCCTACCTGGCTCAGCAGTCTGTGTGCTGACCTGCATCGGCTTCAAGCTGAAGGTTCAAGTCTTCAGCGGTGGTTTCCAGAGCCTGGTTCCATCTGGTCCCTGCCCTCCTCCCCGGCTTGTGCACACCTCCAGGTGTGCAACTCTTGCTCTGGCCACAGGGACCCAATCAGAGTCTCAGGCGCTGCCCAGCTGCTCATCCCTCTGAGCTCTGGCATCAGCATCTCCACTTGCAGGCCTCTGTCCTACTTCTTAGCCTAACTCATCCAGGTATCACCTCCACAAATCTCCCAAGACCCCCGCTGACACTACCTCCCCAGCCATGAGGTGAGAAGTCCTTCTGCAACTCCTAAGACACTCTGAGTGTGCCTTATGCACTGAGCTGTGGTCATCTCCCCCATCCCCACCGGCCTCATCACTGCTGCCCCCTCTCCCACCTGTACCAGCTGTACCAGGGACACCACCACTGCTTTTATTTTTAGTCTCCATTTGTAGCCTTTGCAAAGCATTATGCGTTGTGGCCACTAGGGGGAGGAAGCAGCAATAGCCGTGGCTCAGGATTTTCTGGGGATTGACGGTGTATTTTCCTGGTCCCTGGCAGAACTTGCTGAGGTGTCCTGCCTGGAAAAAGGAAGATTTTCTTTCTCTCTTTCAGGCTAATTGCATTTTCAGTTTTTTTTTTTTTTTTTTTGGAAAACTTCTGATGCATAATCGTTTTGGTGGGATTATAGTATCATATGACTCAAATATTTTTATTGATAGCGTCCCCACAGTGTTCCCAGAATACTAAAGATACTGCTTTTGTATGAACTTTTAGTTTTCTTTTTCCCAAAGTGTTTCACATGTGTTACTCTACTGTAAGTATTCAAGCAATTTGCTTCCTTTTGGTGGTCAGAAGATACTAGGATGGTTAGTGGCCACTTAGGAGACACAGAGGCAGAGCCTGATGGGCTGCCTGTCCACCGCAGGGGCCAGGACTCTCCGTCCTGGATGCTGCCCCTTGCGGGACAGGACCAAGGCCAGGTGTGTGGCTGCACTGAGGCCTGCAGTGTCCATGACCCCCTGTTCCCAAGGTCCTTGCCCATCGCCCCTTGGGGTTTTCTGCAGAAAGCATCCCAGGGTTTGCCAGGAGGGCCTGTGCTTACCCAGGAAGACAAGGGCCACACTCGGCGTCGTTCTCCATGTCCCCCGGCGTCAGCACGGTGGCCCGGAAGAAGCCCTCACAGTCTTTGTGGCGCCTGCATATCTGGTAGCCTCCTTTGGAAAATTTCTCCGCCGGGCAGGGGACGCAGCCATAGTCCTCGTCTTTGGTGCCGTAACCACAGGACTGGCCGGGGGAAGAAGAGAGGAGACACAGGTAGGTGCAGCAGCCAAACCACACCGACTTGGCCCACGGTCCTTGGGCAGTGACGTGCCGGCTGTCTCCGGAAGCTACTCTTCCTGGGCCTTGGTTTCCTGGCTTGTCCTAACTGCAAAGCCCCCAGGAACCAGCTCATGCTCCGGGTTTGTCCCTTTCCTTGCCACTGTCTAGATGCTGCCCCTCTTCTGAGCCTCCCTGAGATGAATTCAGCGAGCTGCTGGAATGCCCAGGCAGTGCAGGTAGCACTTGGCATCTAACTTTCCTCAGCTTGCTACAAGAACCAGACGCTGAAACCCTGGAGGTTTCCCTTAGTGCTTAGCTTGCCCAGAGGAGGAGGGAGATGCAGCACTCAGGAAAACATGTACTAGTACTGGAGAACATTTCAATCCTGCTTCCAATCAGATGACCTGATGCTCGTTTAATCAGGGTAGAGTGGGAAAGTGGTCCTTTAAAAACATTGCAGAACTGCTGAAAAATCTGTTTACGAATGCTCAGCCGGAGAGTGCCGTTCCTGGGCTCACGGCAGCTCTCGCCGTCAATCTCAATGTCCAGGGAGTGTGACTGGCTGGTTTGATACACCCTGGCGACCTCTCACACAGCCATGCAGGCTCAGGGCACCAATGCCGCAAGCAGGAGGCCTCCCCTGAGAGCGCACGAGGCCCCAGGAGGGCTGGGTCCTTACCAGGTAGGGCTCCTCCCCTGGCCCGCAAGTGGGGCACTCCTGGCACAGCCCCGTAGTCTGGTTGTAGTATTCGTTCTCGCCGCAGTTTGAGTATTCCGCTCGGGCCGAGCACATCAGAGACACCTGCCAACAAAGAGGGGTGTTGTGGCCTCCATATCTCCTTAGAAACATGTGTGACTCCCCCAAGAGCCCAAGGTTGACATAGGAAGGGGGTGCTCTGTGGTGGGGGCTCTGTCTGGGAAGGTGCCAGCTTGTGAGTGCTCACTGCTGCTGAGTCTCCAGTAGCTCCTGGTTGATCACCTGGGCACGGCCAGCCCCCACTAGAACCACCCTGCCTCACCCCTGCTGGCCAAGCCTCGTCCCACCATCAAGGCCTGCTCTGAATTCTCCTCGTCAACGCACTTGCCAAGGTCATGGAGGAGGCGCCCCTGTCCCCCACTGAGCCTCTAATACAGTGGCTCCTCAGAAGGCCGGCATGTCCAGGAGGATGGGGGTGGGGGTCTGAGTCTTTCAAGTCTTTCTCAGCTGTGCGGCCCCTAAGCATGAGCTCATCACACAGACACTGGGCTGTGTGTATCACACCACAAACAAGCACTCAAGAGCGTTTATATCCTTGAGACCCTATGAAGGGAGCTACCAATGGAATCAATCTAACTTCAGCCTGTGGCCGAGTTCCGTGCTTTGCAGGCCTGGTTTCATTTCACCCTCAGAAGAACCCTGTGAAGGAGGGACTATGACCAGCATTCCCATTTTACAGCTGAAGAGGCTAAGAAATGGTCCAGCCATCACCAGGATGAGGGCGCTGTGAGAGTGAGGGGCTCAGACCACTTACCACCAGGACGGGGAGCCAGGGCGTCTGCGTGTAGTCCCCCACATGGGCCATCCTCTCCCAAGGGCTTACCTGAAAGATACGCATCATTAGCTGGGCACTGGCGGTAGCCCTCCAACCGGGGGTCCGGCTACCTGTAATTTAACCCCACTGGACATAAAGTGCCTTCCAGCAAACAGAGGGGAAACTATACATCCTAAAAGAAAAGGCAGACATGAAGCTGAAGCTGTACCCATGCCATTTGAGCTGATTCTGGGGCCTTCCCAGCCTCGCGGCCATGCCCAGGAGGGAGCCTGAAAGGAGGCTGGGAGCACATGGAGGGCCCACAGTTAAACCTGAGGTTAGTAATTGTGTTTCTCGTGTTCAGAGGGTTTGGAGAAACCCAGCCTTACATGAGCTTTAAGTCTGGAGTCCTCTAGGCCAGTCCTGGCCTTTGGGCCCCGGACACAGGAGGACCCCTGGGAGAGACTGCCGGGAATCAGATTCTGGTCTGTGTCCCTTCTGAATGCTCTCCCAGCCCCACCATAAGGTTCTTCCCTCTCTCTGTTAAGAACAGGTTGTCCATCCAAGTGGACAAGTCCAACAACCTAACTTTACAGTTGAGATAGTGGGAGCCCAGAGAGGTTAAGTGACTTGCCCCGGGTCACACAGCTACTTAAGGGACTGAGCATGGCTGCAGCTGAGGTGTTCTGATGCTTTTCACCAACTATTAATATTACACGAATGCACTGCCTTGAAGGAAGAGGTGGGTTTATTTTTTTATTT